GAATCAGAGGTAGAGTTGGATCTGAGAACATTTTCAAGGTAAGGAATTTTTGTCCTTGCCCCAAATGCCAATTGGCATCAGACAGTGCCTCCCCATCACACATGGCCCTTTGGTTGAGCCCCCACCCCCAAAACCTCCACCGGAAAAGCAAGAAAAGAATTGGAGTGATCTTTAAAAAAAATCACATCAAGAGCTATACACACATCAAAGATAATGGGGATGGGTGGCCCTTTCCCCACCTTGTCCTTAGGCAAGGCAGACTTCACGGGGTTTTCTTGGAGGCGGAACAATCCCTTTTTTGTGCAGCAGGATGATGTCACCAGCTCCTCTGCTGGGCTGGACCTGAGCTTCTGAAAGGGCTATTTAAGAAGCACACATTTATAGGCAGGGAATAGGAACTATGAAAATATTGCCTTTAGTCAAAAAGTGTTTTGGTAAGGATTTAAAAACTGTCACCAGGGTTTTGCTTTCTTTAATGAATTGCTGTTTACAACACATCCCCTGACCATCCTGTGTAATTGGTGTATTTATTCTACCGGTTGCTATTTTAGCATTGCCCTAAGCAGTTCTCCGTGTCAAATTCTAACAAACAAGTCTCTCTGGCTTCATTGCTGTCTGTCTGTTAATATTCAAGGCCGACTATGTTTGGAGGCTGTTCCAAGGTTCTCAGGCAGCATGTAGTGGAAGTAATAGGACTGAACTTGAATACGGCACAAACCACCTGAAATGCTTGGAGGCAAGATTGATATGGTATATGTGCAAGTCGCCCACTTTCTAGTTAGGGCTATTGCTTGTAGCTGTGACTGGCAGACGTGTCAGGGCATTTGAATAGAAGGCTGGGACAGGTCTTAGGGAAGCGGGTTCAGAGACTCTGCTAAAATGGGGCAGCACTGAATATAGGTAAAGAACAATGACTAGGATAATTTGGAGTTAAAATTAAGATCTGTTGTTTATTAGTTTTGTGACAATGGTCAGACTTTGTCATCTCTCTGCAGCTGGGTGTCTGTCTTGTGGAATGGTTGGGAAAATTGGAGCATGTCTGTAAAACATTCAAGTTACATCCTGTCACAGTAGATAAACAATCAAAGGGAACTAGGGCTTCCCTCACATCCATACCCGGACAAGGTCCTCAGAACACACCCTTGCTCTAACCCCAATCCTGCAGATTTGGTCTCATTTGCACCCACACCAGACATACTTCTATCATAGAACTTCTAAACACCTTATACTTATTTTATATTTGTCTCCCCACATTTGTTACAGTGGACATGGATCTTGTCTTAGTCGCTTCTGATTTGCTGGGCCAGTGCTGTCTGACAGTGGCTAGTGGCTACCATATTGGATAGCATAGTTTTTGTGCCTAACAAAATGACGAATGCTTAATGAACATTTAAATAAATACGTTTTACATAAAATGGTTCACTCATGTGGATTTGGAGTAAAGAGAGTGGCGATTTAGATTCAGTTAATCTCCTCTCAACTACTGTGCTAGGATTTTCCATCTAAGTCCAGTAAGGAGGGCATTGTTGTCCCTGTTTGATGGTAGATGAGACTTAGCCTTGGAGAGTGAAGTGACTTAGGATTCTCTACTTCTTTTTTTTTTTTTTTAATATATTTTATTGATTTTTTACAGAGAGGAAGGGAGAGAGATAGAGAGCTAGAAATATCGATGAGAGAGAAACATCGATCAGCTGCCTCCTGCACATCTCCCACTGGGGATGTGCCCGCAACCCAGGTACATCCCCTGACCGGAATCAAACCCGGGACCCTTGAGTCCGCAGGCCGACGCTCTATCCACTGAGCCAAACCGGTTTCGGCAGATTCTCTACTTCTAAGTGTTGGTCAGATGTGGGTCTCCCACATCGGAGCTCAGCTGAGGTGTGAGGCCCACCTGGTGGTAAAGGGGATTTGGAGCTTCATGGGTTCACCTAGGACAGTGATGGCGAACCTTTGAGCTCGGCGTGTAAGTATTTTGAAAAACCCTAACTTAACTCTGGTGTCGTGTCACATATAGAAAATTTTTGATATTTGCAACCATAGTAAAACAAAGATTTATATTTTTGATATTTATTTTATATATTTAAATGCCATTTAACAAAGAAAAATCAACCAAAAAAATGAGTTCGCGTGTCACCAGGTTCGCCATCACTGACCTAAGGAGGTCAGTGTGGATATTTCTGGTAAAATTGGGGTGGTAGGGTCAGAACAAAAGAATCCCAAGTTTGGGAGAGACAAACCGCTGCTTTGAACACTTCCCATGATGAAGAATCCTCTTCCCAGGAAGGCAGCCAGTTTAATTGTGAAAAAGTTGGGCCTAACCCAGAAGACATCCCTCCTTCTCCTCCACATCTTCTCCCCTCTTATTGTGACCAGCCTTCTTTCTTGGCAGTCTGTAAGGAGAGATTTCTGCTCCCTGTTTAATTCATGAGTGCCCCCTGACATTGCTGCGTCTGACTGGCCAGTTTACACTATTTCCATCGTCGCTCTACTTTCATTGGGCTCTTCCTAATGGTAGTTATCGTGGCCTCTGCCTGAGTCCCCCTGCTTCTGCTTTAGGCCTTTGAGCTGGGTTCTAGTGTGTGGTGTCATCCTGAAGTAGCTTCCTCCTTTTTTCTAGGATCAAGTGTTCTTCTGGCTCCATCTGACCCATCCTTCTGCATCCTTTTGCAGCGACTGCATCCTTGGCTGCAAACAGTCAGACACCTCACCTACGTCCTTATATCCCAAGCAACTTGCACAAATGATATTCTGCAGTGGGAATTGCACAAATGATATCCTGCAGACCTGGGGTTGAATTGGGGCTCTCATTTACCAGCTGTGTGATTTGAGTGAGCCAATTAACCTCTCATATTCCTATAAATTGGGCATCATAATGAGTATTTGCCAATATTATGGGGAAGATTAAAAATATGCCCTAAAAACAAGCAGTATAGTTAGTGGCTGATAGAGAACAGATATTTCATATGTGGACTTGCTATTAATAAAATGAACTATTATTAGCACCATCATTATTATAATAATGTCCTAACTCTTAATGACTTCATCATGAAATTGTTCCTCTCCAGCCACCCTGCCTGGCCCCGCTGGTCCCCCTGTGTCCTGTCCTCCAAGCACTCACTGCAGTAAACAGTGCATTTTTTAAGGAAGGCAAATATTCCGTTGGCCTGTTTTCTCTAGGTGTACCAGCTTTCCCAATTTATTGTGAGTTTTGCCTAGCCCCTGCTGCCAAGATAGTCCAAGAACACAAATAAGTCAGTATTCACCTCCCTTCTACTGAGAGCAAGGGCAGCCCACAGTGGAAAACCTTCATAATTCCCCTCTGTGGGCCTCCGAAGGTTGGACTTGGTAGAAAGAGTTTTCGGCCTTCAGGTGACGACAGGGAGCTCCTTGTTCTTCCTTGCCGTTCAGAGGCTTGCAGACTTTGCCTGTGCTTGGAGCACGAGGACTGCAGCCTGCAGAGCAAACCATTGAGAAGGTCTGCCTTTCTGGGTACGAAACAGATTTTCCAAGTATAAATCCATGGCCTTTTTACTGGTGAAAATTAGTGACAGAACTAAAGTTATCGTGTGTTCCCCTTGAGCTGGCTCAGAGAAACAGTCACGCTATTCCTTTGGTTTAGATACATCAGAAGGGATTGCTTTTGGTCACCTTTCCAGGAAGCGTTTCCTGCAGCTGAAAGCCTGAATGGGGAAACTGAAATTGGCCCTACTGGGTAAACCAAGCACACCGTGTCCATGATATCTGTTCCTCATAAAGAATAGGAAAAGGAACCAAGTATTTAGATAAATTGTATGTATAAGGCACTATATACTTACATTTCTTTTGAATCTGAGCTTAATAAAGAGAGGAAGAGAATCAGAAGGTGGGGAGGATGGAAACATTAAAGCAAGTTTGGTATTCGGACAAGTTGGTCTTAAGGTGTTCGTGCGACTCTCAGCTGAATGTGTCTAGTGGATGATAGGAAATAATATTGGACACTTGAATGAGGTAAAAAGAGTTGAATGAGTGAATCAATAATTTATTAGTAGAAAATTAATGATAGAGTAACAGTGGGAAACCAATGATGGGTATGAAGCCAGGATATTTTATATGGAGAAAAGGGGAAGATCAGAGACAAATCCGTGGGGTCCCAGATATTTAAGGAGTGGGTGGAGACTGGACAAGGATTAAGTGGTTGGGAAAGCTAGTGAGAAGTTGCATTTACTTTCAGTGATTCAACAAACATTTTTTGAACCTAAGATGAAGGTTCATAGGGAGAAGGGAGGACAGAACTGGCAAATATGTCAAAGAAGTAAAATAGGAAAAAGACTAAAATTTATCTTGGGAGTTAGAAAATGACTTCAAACAATTTCTGTAATGCATTAGGCATGAAAGTGAGGAAAATAGTAAGTAGAGATTATGAGGTTAAATTTTAATAGATCTTTTTTAGAGAGGTTTCAGGCTCCGAGCAGAATTGAGAGGAAGGTATAGAGATTTCCTGTACCCACTGCTTGCATTTTGGGTGTGGATGGGTAGGGTGTAGTTGTGTGCAAGGGGGCAGGGCAATCTGTCCCTCTGCAGTCTTTTGATCCAGTCCTTGCTGCTGCCCCTTCCCTAGAGACTCAGGTTCAGAGCCACAATCTTGCATGTACCTCACTCTTAATGCAGGACTATACTGGCCACAGGGCCACACACATCCTTACCCACAGGCTGGTGGGCAGAAGGTGGCTCCTACCACTGGCTCTGTGCTAAAATGGCTGGGTTGGGTGGTGGTTACAGCTGAAGATTCTGGAACCAGACTACCTTGGTTAGTATCCTGGCTTTATGACTTTTCAGCTGTGTGCTGTTGCTGTGGCATCTCTGAGTGTGGCTCTTCCTAAGCCTTAGGAGTACCCTAATTAAGTTAATAACAGTGTACCTACCTATATAGTTTAAGTTTTAAAAATTTGGCTCTCAAAAGAAATTTCAATCGTTGTACTGTTGATATTTGGCTTTGTTGACTAATGTGTTTGCCAGCCACTGTCCTAGGGAGAGAAGGTGTAACAACAGTAGCTACCTCCTAGGTGGAGATTAAATTAGTGAGTACACTTGATAGCTTGCAGCAGTGCCTGTCCAATAGCAAATGTAACAATGCTTATGAAATAGATGGGGATGCTGAGTGGTTCTAACCCAGGGTGGGACTCATTTTCCAGTTAAGCAGTGGTTCTCAACCTCCTGGCCCTTTAAATACAGCTCCTCATGTGTGACTCAACCATAAAATCATTTTCGTTGCTACTTCATAACTGTAATGTTGGTACTGTTATGAATCATAATGTAAATATCTGATATGCAGGATGGTCTTAGTCGACCCCTGTGAAAGGGTCGTTCGACCACCAAAGGGGTCGTGACCCACAGATGGAATATTAAAAAATTTCTTGACTTCTTACTGCCTGAAGCTAGGACTGACTATATTCTTTCCCTTGTCAGTCACTCCCAGCTGCCTGGAGATGCAGGTATATTCACAGTTCATCCTACCTTAAGCTCTAGAAAGAATCCACTATTGTATCAAGCCAGAAGAGGCTCTTTATGACTAGGCCTGGAGAGTTCTTTCCCACCCTGGGTTTCTGCCTCAGTGCTATCTCTACATTTTCTAGCCAGTCCAGACCAGAACTGAGAGGACAGCCTTTCCATTGCAATCTGTTC